ATTTATTACTTTGCCACCATATTGAGTAACTACTTATTTTCCATGCATTATTAGTTATTACTTTGTCACCATTCTTAGTAACTATTTATCTTCCTTGCATGATTGGCCGTGCTTAATATGTGGCAAAAATAAAGTGGGGAACTAAAAGGAAAATCAAGGTTCTGAAAAATGAATCAGTCGTCGAACCAGTGAAGCTACTTGTTCAATGGTTCACTACTGGTCGGACTTGTGATCAAACATGTATAATTAATATTTAATTTTTATTTGTTTTATATGTATAATATATAATTTTATACATATTTATCATTAATTTTATAAGTTTAAAATAATAACTAAATGAGGTGCATGCAGAGTAGAGAGGTGCAGAGGTGCAAAAAACAACGGCCGACGGGCAAAAGGACGATTGGAGCTTAGTGGTTCACGACCGGTGGTGCGACCAACTTGTTGTCAAGAGGTGGTGTAGACATCGAAATTTTAATATTTTATTAATTAATGTCTTTATTTATTTTGGGACATAAATCCAAGATAAATAAGATATTAATTAATAAAGTTATTATTTCTTATCCACCAAGTCAAATCTTAGGATAAGGAAAGATATTATATCAAATATTAGGAGAAGGAAAGGGATTATATCAAATCATGAAGGATCAATCAAATTGAAGTTTTTGTCTCTAAGACTCTCTCTCTTACACCTATAAATAAAGCTCTTCTCAATGCCACAAATCACACTCAAAGTATCAAACACATCTAAAAAATAGAAGTCTCAAATTCAAGCGCTCTCAAGAATCCTCTTGAAGATTTGAAGAAATTTTTGAAAAACCGCCAGAAGGCCGTTCAATGAAGAAGAAGGTCAAGAAGAAGAAAAAGAGGCTGCGACTCTTCCCCAAGAAGTAAAGAGACGACTTCAACTTCTCTCAAATTAATCTAAGAATATCAACGACGTTTAAGCGACATTCAAGCCGCGTTCGTTGAGAAGTTCAACCAACATAACATTTGGTCCAGGAAAAAGCTATCAAGCCCTCGAGTCAACGTTATTCAAGACAAAACCTCACTTTCAAGTAAATCAAGATCAAAGAATCAAGTCCTCCATGAAGTCTTCTTCAATCAAGTCCAGGCCTAACATTTAATACGAGAATAAGTCATTCAACCCCCAAATTAATGTTAGAGAAATTCAATCTCAAGCATGAAGGAGATTCAATCGCCAAATCCATCTTTTAAGATCTCAAACTCAAATTCATGAAGAGAAGAGTCAGAGGAGATAAATAGAGATTGTACCTGCAATATCGTTTGATCGAAATATATTCAAGTTGTACAAAAGTTTTATGTTTTTCATAAAATTTGTTGTTACAGGTGGTTCCCGACCAGAGAAAATATGGTCAAAGTCGACGACCTGTTCGTGAACAGAGATGGAACCAGAGAAAATATGGACTGAGTCGGTGACCTGTTCACGAACAGAGATGCGACCGGGGGAAATATCGATGGGGCACTAACCGAAGTTGCGGTAATGGAGGCGGAGATGTAGGGTTTGGTTTGGGAAGTTAAGAACAAGAACGACAAAGAGGTGCATATAAATCTTTGTTTTATTTTATTTTTTATTTTTTAATCTATATACAAAATACGAAAGTACATTACATACAACCTAAAGGCTTATATTTTAATTTTCAATATCATATTTTTATTTTTTTCTTTCCAGTTTTCATTATGTAAAATTAAAAAGTAAAACCTAAAAATCAGTTTTTGCTTTGGGTTTTGATTAAAATTCAAGGGCTACATGTTGTAAAAAACATGTTTGGACTGGGGCATTCCAATGTACAAAGTTCAACAACTTCAATTACAGGCCAACAAAAGTACAGAACAATTTCAATTACAGACGAACAAACCAAAACTGTAGAGAAACAAACCAAGCTGAAAACCGTTAGGCGACGTGAATCGTATTTTTTTTTGTTTTACCGATTTTTTCGGTATTAGAATATCACTTGTGAGTTGTCCCACATTGTTCATACATTGAAAATAGACCAAACTTATAAGTCTAATGGGCTACTCCTCCTTCCATCAATTGATTTTAGGATGGAACCTCACTTGGGATTCATATGGGCTTTTCACTCTCATTGTGCCCTTCATTAATATGGGATCGCACCCGTTTTCTCCCCGCTTCTTATGGCTTCATCTGGACTTTCCGTTTTCCCCCACGTACCCATTTATGGGAGCCTACTTCAAGTAGGCTTGGGGCACCCAACTCCTTATATGGGCTTGAGCTTTCTTATTAAGTACCCATAAGTGAGATTTCTTATGAAGGACTCACAAGTCAGGGAACGAGACCCTACTTCAAGTAGGCTTGGGACATCCCAACTCCGTATATGGGCTTGAGCTTTCTTATTAAGGACTCACAAGTGAGGGGGCGTGTTAGAATATCACTTGTGAGTTGTCCCACATCGTTCATACATTGAAAATAGACCCACCTTATAAGTCTAGAGGGGACGTGTTAGAATATCACTTGTGAGTTGTCCCACATCGTTCATACATTGAAAATAGACCCACCTTATTAGTCTAATAAGTTACTGTTCCTTTCACCAATTGGTTTTGGGACACTTGGGCTTCATATGAAAATTTTTCTCTCAGAGTGCGCTTCATGTTAGTGGGACTGCACCCATTTTCCCCCAATTTCTTACAATAGGTAATAACAATTCACAATTGGTTTTGATTCCCAACAGTTTTACACATCGAACCGGACCAGTTCCCGATTGAATCGGTCGGTTCGATTAGGTTTCCCAAATCATGAGAAAAATACAACGGATTTCTGTTCAAGAGAACATGTTACTATATATAAGGAGGATTTAACATTTTTGAGTACACAATTTATTAGTTAATTGGGTAATAGGTATTTAAATATGTATTACGTGATAATTGAGTAATAGGTATTACATGGTTATTTTATTACTATAAAATATAAAACCCTTATGGACTGTTTAAAATATTAAAAATATTATGAACTGAATAACAGCCGGATTGGATTTTTAGAAGTCCTCATTTACTAAAAAACTGACATGGTTGCTATTTGTCTTTCCAAATTATTACTTGTTGCCCGAAAAAAAATGGTAAATTTACAAAAGATATCCATGTGGTAAGAAAAATAGTTGCTAGAAAAAAGACATTCAAATGTCTAACAAAAAAGCCCGACTATGAAAGCAAATGTTCAGGAGCTAGGCTTGGAAGCCAGCCAAGCGTCCACCGTGAAGCCCGACTGTGAAAACAGACATCTAAGAGCTAAGCTTGGACGTCAAACAAACGTTCAACTATGAAGCCCGACTGTGAAGAAGAACGTCTAATGGCAAAATGGCAACACATTTTGAAAGTTTGGAATCCAAACTTATCATACAAATAAACGTCCAAGGAAAAAGCGCATTTTCACAGTCAAACTCATACTGTCACTCTTTCTCTCTCTTATGGTTGAGACCCACTCTTCTTTTTTTTTTTTGTTGAGGGGAGGTATTTATAGAATTTTTTTGGGACTTTTCGGATTTCTTTTAAACTTTTCTTTAATTTACAAGACCCGCCGAGTCTGACTCCGAGTCCAAGGCGGCCCAGTGGGTCATGTAGGTCGACCGAATCTAGATCGTTGGATCTCAACGGTCAAAATGATCAAACAGTCATATTTGAAAATCTGGTTGTTGGCCAACCGTTGTGGAACTTTCAACGATTCAGATTAACGGACTGCTAACGGTCCAATACCGGGTCACGGGCTGACCCGAACCGATCCACAAATTAAAAACAAAATCTATGGCGGGTTGTCTCGAGGCTGGCATGGACTAGGCCCATCGGGCCAAAGAATTTTTTACATGCCCAGCACCAGCCTGCACATGTAACCTTATTTATTTTGTTATTATTAAACCCGAAACTCTATTTCATAACTAAACCTGAAACCCTATTTATTTTGTTATTATTAAATATGATTACGATTTTATTATTAAAATTATATTAAAAATAAAGATATATCACAAAAACAAAATTTTTTATCCTTTCAAATTGTTGTTGCTTAGGTTGATGATAGATTAAGTGTTTTGAGATATCGGAGAAAGTACTTTGAGTGATATGTGGAAGAAACCAAATACTTGAGGAAGCTTTCACGTGGGACATTTATGGGTCATTAAGTTTTCCTTGTGTTACATTTCACATAAGTTATATACAAAAATAAGTAATTTGTTGTTGACATGGACATTAACTATTATTGTGCCTAATGGTATTAGTAACTTTATAAAATGTAATCTATCTTGCACATCATTCTAATCACCATAGAACTTATTTTGCAAAGAAATTAATTATTAAATTTATTTTGCCAGTAAGAGAAGTAAAAAAATATGTGGATCGAAATTGAGTCATTTTTGTATTTTTTTCTTAAGTTATATTTTTTAATTTTAATTGTCTCATATTTGTAAATTTCTATTTGAATTATTCTATACCAGTTTATATATATCATTTGTCTTTATTTATTCAAAAATGATGAAAATTATGTTATTGTCTAGACATTTTTGAAAAAATTTAAAGAGGTGTCATTAATGTGACAAATACCTTTTTTTTTGTCAAATATCACTAATATTTATTAAGCTAAAGTTATTTAATTTTAAAATTTTATGAAAAATGGCATTTCATTATCACAATCAGTTATATGTTATTGTTTCTAGAGTCAGAGATCTCTGTTGTTTGATGATTATTATTTATGATGATAATGGTAATATATAATACAATTCATCCAATACTAATATTATGTATTGAAAAATATTTTAAAATATATTAATTTTCATCTACGTCACTTTTAACATCAAGCCGTGGAACGTGCGGGTGGCGTACTACTTTCCTCATCAAAAGGCTCAACTAATGGCCTAACACTCCAGCCCATACATAATAAGATGGGCCTGGGCAGGCTCAGTATTTCAGTGTAAACCCAATAGATATAACTTCTGCTTCAAAATGCTCAGTATTTCGAAGCTCCACTCAGTTCGTCCATGGAATCCTTCAATCCTAACAAACACCTGAAAGAACAGTAAGCACACACCATTATTCGCTCTTTAATTCGATTTTAGTTACAGTTTCCTTTGTTCGATTTTCGTACTCATGTTATTATCATTGATAGATCGGGCCTTTTTGTTTCAGATTTGTGAGCAACTTAACCGGTTCTTCCAAGCTCGAGATATTCTTCCTCATCACGAATTTCTCGGTGAATACTTAAGTATGTCTTTTTTCTTTATAGTTTTCGGCTTTCAGCTTCTTATCTTTCATATTTTGCCAGATTCTGATACTTATAAGGCATTGCATTGGATTCAGTTGGACCAATTATGGTAATGTTATTGTTGAGATCTATTTATATTCGATCTTTTTGGATCCCGTGTTGTTCTTTTTGTACTGTCATTCTTAAATCCAAAGCTCAGTTTTTGTTTGCGGGTTCTTGGTTTTGTCAGGTTCTAGTAAGAAAGATGATAATGCTTCTAGCAGTTGCAAGAACTTGAAAGCCTACATTGCGACTCTGAGTCTTGATTTTCTATGTATTGCGGTTCCTTACGTTTTGCTCATGACTGTAAGTTATTCTTAAGCTGCATACCTCTTAGAATCTTCATACGTGACGTTTATTGACCTATGCGATTGGTTCGTGTGTCCCGCAGTTGTTGAGTGCCAAATGTAAATAACAATACATGCGTACACATAATTTACAGCTATATCGAGAGTGAAGCATTTTATTGTATGTTTCTCGTGGAGGCACTTAAAAGTAGTTATCTTTTCATTATATATGGAAGTTGTCGATGGTAAACCGACTAGCCTATGACAGGTTCTCGCCGAATGGACTCATGGGATCACATTGGTGTTTGTGCTGCTGCTTTTGTTCAGAATGTTTTGTAGGTAAACTTTTTGAGCTGTAACAGATTTTTCTATTGTGAAGGCTTTAGCTTTGTGTTTCTTGACATAACCCTAAAGTAGATTCTCTATAACATTAAGAATTAATTTAATCTTCAGAACAGAAATCGATCATCACTCTTGCAGGAAAATGGCATTAACTCTATTAGGGCCACCATCTCCTCCTATAGGGTTTCTATGGTATGTTATGAAACTGGTAGTTTGCCTACATTTTTTGTGCTTGTTAATTCTATGTTGGAGTATATTTTTGTGAACTATGTTACAAAAACGACTTAAATGCAGATGCTTGGTACATCCCTCTGTATTTTGGCTGTTGATTTCAAGATATTTCCTAGAAGATATGCAAAAACAGAGACGTATGGTTCTAGCTTGGTGAGAAATTGTTTTTTCTGTATTCAAACATAGGTGTCTATTTGATTATTTGATTTAGCGCTGTTGATTTTGAATTTTTTAGGTAATGTATTTCTTTATATTTTAAAATTTGTTCTATTACGGAGTTACAGATGAGATTTGAATCATGAATTTTCCGCTGGTTCCCTTAAAATTAGCAGGTGGGAGATGAGGTGCCAACTTATTACCTTTTATTGGGATGTACTGTTTATTCATGCTTCATGGAGTATCATTTTATGTGTCATTACTTGCTAGGCCTGTCTCTTTAATGCACAAATTGAACTTTATTTGAAACATTATGTTAGATACAATAGGAACCAAAACTAGGTTCTAGGGGCTGTACTAAATTGGTAATCATGGCCTTATGGTTTGCTAATAATTCTCCCTCATTTTCTTGCCATGCTAGATGGATCTTGGTGTAGGATCATTTGTAGTAGCTAATGCGTTGGTTTCACGACAGGCGCGTGGTATTATAAACATGTAAGTGCCCTTTTGTTTTTCTTTTTGGAAAGACTTTGGTCCGATTGGCTATGCTGTATCATTCCCTTTTCTTGTCTATCCATAATGTTTCTTGTTGTGATGGCTTCTGTTGTTTAAGTATATTATGCCTCAATGCACTATGTTAAACTCTTGCAATTGCTGTTAATTTTCACGATCGTCATAACTTTGTTGGAATGAACAAATTAATAATTTAATCTCTTCTCAGCTCATGGCAGCCCTATTTATAACATCATCTTACATGCAAGATGACAAAAAAGATAGCAAAATAAAACGGGGTCGTCACAGTTAAATTGAGTACAGAAAAAAAAAAATGAAGGACAACTTTTCTTTTGTTTATTTAAAACTGCAACACTTGCCACTTTGTACTGTTATCTTAAATTATCTTTTGTAGATTTAATGTTATTGATTAGGTACACTTGTGCACATGGTAATCCAGGACATTTAGCCATGCTCTTCGTTCGACTGGTCCATTGATCATTTTGGGGTTTGCTCGACTTATTTCCACTTCAAGTGTAAATTATCAGGTTTACTAGTTTATCTTTATTTTCTTTTTCTTTGCTTACTGCTATATGTGTCTGCGTTTATCATCTATTGCTTCCTATGACAAATATTGTTCCAGCTGCAGATTTAAAAGTACTTTATACGCGATAGTTACTATCTGATATTTCTGATAAATATATTAACTGACTACCTCAGTGAAATTTTACTTAATTTTTTTCGCGCTCCAATGTATAAGGAATTGATTAACAAGTTACCGGAGGAAAGGATTTTATATTTTCTGAACTTGTTCCTTGCTGCTTTCTCTCCTTTTTTTGGGGTGGACCTTTCATCTTTTGCTTAACTCAATGCCTCTTTAGTTCATGCTCATTTCCTGATTACTTTTTGTTTTGCTTTCTCCCCACAGGTTCATGTTGGTGAATATGGTGTGCATTGGAATTTCTTTTTCACTCTCGCTGCTGTCGCTATCCTCACTTTTGTTATAAACGTTGATCCTACATACTGCGGAGTTCTAGGTTCCTTCATCCTCATTGGTATGCTTACAGTTTCTCTTAATTTTGCTACGAGAAATGGCAGGTCGTGTGATTTGTTCATTTAATGTGGGTGAAATGATGTGCAATATCAGCCTATCAAGCATTGCTGTCATGTGGGCTAAATGAATACCTCCTTTTGGAAGAAAGGGGAGCAGACATCTTCAGCCAAAACAAGGAAGGAATATTCAGCATATTTGGTAAGAATCCTTTTTGTATTGTACCCTTTGAAGGTTCATGCATAAGAAGATAACTCTAATATATCTCTTGTTTCTCAATGTCCATTTGAAACTTAAATCTTATAACAACAATATTTTCTATTTTCGATATACTCTTGTCAAAGTGGATCTTTTGCATTATGTTCACTAAAATGATTCTGTTCATTGTTGGTAGAAATTAGGACGTATTATTTATCTTATCTTGATTCCAGGATATTGGGGAATGTACCTTCTTGGCGTTGGAATAGGAAGATTCCTCTTCTTTGGAGACGATTCAAAAACCAAGAAACGGGCCACAACTAGAGTTTGGGCTCTTTGCTTCTTTTTCTGGTATGAGGAGTTTTGCTTTTAGCCTGAGCATTTTGCTTCTCCCTCATTTAACCCTACAACAATTAAGTAATTTGATTTCCTTCGTGTTGTACCAGGGCATTAACTTTGTTTCTAGAGTTGCATATTGAGAAAGTATCTCGTCGAATGGTAAGTGGCACTATGGTGTGTAATTTCACCCAATTTCTCAGCTAATTATGTTCTTATCTCATTCTCTGACACGAGGATACCAAAAATAACTTATCTTCTGTGCAGTGCAACTTGGCGTATGTTTCTCTTACTTTGGCTTGCAACCTTCAGGTAAATTACAACATATTTGGTCTGGAGAATCTGGAAAAGTGTTCTTTTGTCATCTGGCATTTTTATACAAAATGATTATAGTATCATCATTGAAGGACAACAGTTATAAGAAAAAAAAAAAAAAAATTACATCTGCTCGAATATGGTCTTCATATAATTGAAGTGCCTGAAATTTGTTCCATCAGTATTTTTAACTGAAATGTGATTTTACAGTATATGATTTGCTTCCGGAACAGTATATAAATTCATGTAATCAATTGCTTCCGGAACTGTATGTAATGCATCAAATAATTGACCAACTTCATTGTACTCGTAATTGTGCTGGAAAACAAAATTAGTTACCGATTTTCTTCTTTATCTATCAACCTTCAGGCTTCAACTTGCACCTTTGTTTTTCTGTGCTTATGCCAGTCATGCTAAAAGCCTAAAACCAAATTGATTTTTTCTCAGGTATTAGCCATCCTGATGCTGTCCGATTATGTATCCAGATGTAAAACCTCAGCTCTAGAAGAAGCATTTAACCGTAATTTGCTTGCAACTTTTCTCCTGGTCAGAGAAATAAATCATTTATTCAAATTTATTCGTATTTCGAACACTTTCCCATTTTATTTTGATCCATAGACTTGATAATCCTTGAATTTGGCTTGTCGACTTTTGCAGGCAAATGTTCTTACAGGATTGGTGAACTTATCTGTTGACACACTGTCTATGTCCTCAACCTCAGCCTTAGCCATCTTGCTTGCCTATGCTTTCCTTTTATCTTTTGTTGTTGGATTTGCAGATTTTCTGGGCATTAGGTTAAAGTTTTGCTAATGATACACGTGCGGTTGGTTGGTGTTGTGGTGAGAGTGTTATTGTGAGAGTGACATGTGAACAGCAAAAAAAAAATTTATTATAGCATTTTCTAATGTCATGAAAATGGATGTTGTTATAAAACTAGAGAGAAAAAAGAGATAATATAGAAAATGTTTCTCTTATGTGCAATTTTCATTATAACTGAAGCTCCTATTTATAGGAAACTTCTGATGGCACAACCGTAATAATACAATTACATCAGGGACAAAATAGTCATTCACATACATTATTTTATAATAAATATTTTACAACACTCCCCCTTGAATGACTATTTCTAAACATATTTTAACTGATTAGAACAAAGTCCAATTTGCACATCTTCAAGTATATCTTGTGGTCATCAGGTACCGTTGCTTTAGCATGTCATGAAAACCCAGTGGGACAAAATCTGATCATTGTGGAATCTCAATATTTCTCCTCAGGAAAACCCGGTGGGACAAAACCTGAGCATTGTGGAAGCATAAAATTGCTCCCCCTCAAATAGATCATCTTTAATGGAGTATCCATGTGCTGCCTCGTTAAAACCTTGTCAAGAAAACCCAGTGGGAAAAAACTTGATCGAAGGAAAAAGAGTACAGCTACTCCAGTATCATTCATGAGGAATCATATCAATAATCCAGTAGTCCTCATTATACCATGAATATGCCTCGTTAAAACCTTATTAGGAAAAACCCAGTGGGACAAAATCCTAATGAAGGAAAAAGAGTACACTATTCATGTGAATACGCCATCCCTGTTGCCTCATTAAAAACCTTGATAGGAAAACCCAATGGGACAAAATCTTAGCCAAGGGAAAAAGAGTACAATGCGTATTCCATATATTTACCATAATAACTTTTTCATAACTTTCATGAATATCATATAGATTCATTCATATTTTCAGATACTGGTGGTATTCATGATAATATGTCATATCATACTTTTGTGCAACTTTCATTCTTAAACTCATTCTCATCATCAATCGATTTCAATGGTCTTACTACAAATAGTTCCCAATATTCACAAGTTAGCTGATTTCATTCTCATCAATATCATTTATATAGCGCTATTCATTTGTTTGTGTCGACACATATTCATTTCCATTATTCCCCGTAATATATTGAGATATCTCATTATCAATTAATTTCATCGATAGTATATATATGCCTCCTTTCATTACTTGTTTGGGGAATTTCAATTTGCACAATACCAACGCTTCCAGCGTATCTTTCCACCATCATATTATTTCATATATTTAACCACCATCAGTATCATTCAGTTTATAATTTGCACACTTTCAGTGTAATGCATATATCATTTCCAAAATTTCAATAATTGATTCTCCCCCTCATCTTAACAGATCCCTGATCTGTATTTTCAGTATTGAGTTTCTTGA